TCGGATGAACAAGAAGGAAACTTAACCCCTCTTCCCGAAATGACAGATAAAGAACTGGAGGATTTCCATAGATTAGCAGAAGAAGGGGAAATGAATGCTGAGGAGATGGACAACGATGATCTACTGGGAGAGGAAATAGAGGACCATGCAGAAATAATCGATGCTATCTCCCAACTGACTCCCCCTCGAGCTGTTGCCAAACCAAAAGGGAGGCTTATCAAGTACTCAGAAATCCCTGCGAAATCAGGAGAGAAAAAGAAGAAAGCTATGACAAAAAGAGGGCTTCCAGGGACGGGTAATAAGAAAGGACCGCTCAGGAGCCCCAAAGTAAAGGGGGCAGGGGCTTCTACAAAACTTCTTAACAGCCTAAAGGGCCGCGCATCCCCTCGGAAAAGACAGGGTACGGGTAATATCTCCGCTCCCTCTCGTAAAACACATGTCCCTCGTCATGAGGTGTTTCCTTCTGCTCTAAGCAAGAAGTCTGCGGCTTTTTCAGGTTCGGTGGGGCCCCAGAAACCACCCAGTAAGAAGATATGAATACAATTTCCTGGAATTGTCAAGGTGCAGGAGCTTATCTGACCAAACAACACCTCAAAGAGCTGCACCGATGTTTCTCTCCCTCTTTTCTCTTTCTTTCAGAAACAAAAAACTCATTTTCCTTTATGCAAGATTTACAACTTTTTTTAGGTTATAATAAAATGTTTACCGTGGAGCCGGAAGGCAGAAGCGGGGGACTCGCTCTTTTTTACTTTGATTCTTTAGATGTAAAGATTCTGTTTTCTAATAATCGCTTGATCGATATTCAAGCAACCATAGAGGGACATCATGTGTTTATGACCTTCGTCTATGGAGATCCGGTCTTTGAGTACCGCGAACAAGTCTGGGAACGCCTTACAAGGATAAGTACAACCCGACAGGGACCATGGTTTATGTCTGGCGATTTCAACGAACTTACTGGAAACCACGAGAAGAAAGGAGGAAAGAAGCGTGCTGACGCATCCTTCCTACCTTTTAACACAATGCTGGCTAACTGCGGGATGATAGAGTTCCCCGCAAAGGGTAATAGCTTCTCTTGGGTCGGAAATAGAAGCTGTGGAAAGGTCCGATGTAAGTTAGACAGAGCAATCGGGAATGAGGATTGGCACCACTGTTTTTCCCACACCAATGTGGAGTACCTAAAGCTTTGGGGCTCAGATCATAGACCTATTCTAGCTCGGATCCAATCCAGAAAGAGCAGATCGCGGAGAAGTTTCAAATTCGATAAACGATGGCTAGGGAAGGAAGGTCTGCTGGAAGCAATCATTGATGGATGGGGGTCACATGACGGAAATGCAACAATTGCTCTGTCTTCTAAGATAGGCAATTGCCGGAAAGCTATCGCAACTTGGCGACACTCAAACCCCTCAAACACAATAAAAAAGATTGAAGAGATAAAAAAAAAATTGGAAGCAGCCCAACTGGATGACTCCGTCACGAATGACGAGCTTCTATCCCTAAAATGGAATCTATGTAATGCCTTCCGGGAGGAAGAATTATACTGGAAGCAAAAGAGTCGAGCTAGCTGGTTGAGAGAGGGGGATAGGAACACAAAATTCTTCCATGCTACGACTAAGCAAAGAAGAGCAAGGAACCGGATTTCAAAGCTAAAAAACGGCCATGGCTCCTGGGTTGAGACGGAGCAAGGAATACAAAAAGTAGCTACTGAATACTTCCAACTCCTATTCTCCACGTCGAACCCAGGAGATTTTGAGGAGGTTCTAAGATACGTCCCGAACACAGTGACAGACCAGATAAATGACTCACTGGCGAGACCTCCATCAGATGATGAGATTAAAAAAGCGATATTCGCGATCAATCCAGATAAAGCACCAGGACCAGATGGAATGACTAGTGTCTTCTATCAGAAGTTCTGGGAGGTCATTTCTAAGGATATTATCCAAACGGTTAAAGATTTCTTTATCTTGGACAAGCTAGACCCAAAGCTGAACCAAACGAATATCTGCTTGATTCCGAAGATAGAACGACCTTCCGAAATGTCGCAGTTTAGGCCTATCAGTCTATGCAACGTTAGCTACAAGATAATCTCCAAGATCCTGAGTATGCGCTTGAAAAGATTCCTCCCAAAATTAATTTCGGAGACCCAATCAGCTTTTGTGGCTAGACGTCTCATCACAGATAACATTCTGGTGGCACAAGAGGCCTTTCACGCCCTTAAGACTAATCCCATGTGCAAAACAAAATTTGTGGCTATCAAAACAGACATGAGCAAAGCTTATGACCGGGTGGAATGGGGTTTCCTCGAAGCTCTTATGTTGAAAATGGGTTTTAGCACAAAATGGGTAACCTGGATACTAAAATGTATCTCCTCGGTCTCGTATCAAGTCCTTCTCAACGGTGAAGCAAAAGGAAACATTCTTCCTTCACGGGGCCTGCGCCAGGGTGACCCCCTCTCGCCGTTTCTATTTATTATTCTGACGGAAGCCCTGATTGCACAAATTAAGGGAGCCAAAACAGAAGGAAAGATCACTGGGCTAAAAGTTGCACAGACCTGCCCGCCCATTTCACATCTACTTTTCGCGGATGATAGCCTTTTCTTTTGCAAAGCAGAGACAGCTGAATGTGAAGAACTTATGCGGATTATAGAAAAATATGGTAGAGCTTCCGGTCAACAATTAAACCGCGAAAAATCTTCCATTCTCTTTGGGAGTAAAGTTCCTCAAAGGAAAAAACTGGACGTCAAGAAAGCTCTGGGTATATCAACAGTGGGAGGAATGGGTTCATACCTTGGGATTCCCGAGCAAATCCATGGCTCAAAAAAAAGGTGTTTGCCTTTATCCAGGATAGGCTAAGTCAGCGTCTCAATACGTGGTCAGCGAAACTCCTATCAAAAGGGGGAAAAGAAATTCTGATTAAGTCGGTAGCTCAGGCGCTACCAACTTATGTCATGTCTTGTTTCCTACTTCCCCAAGAACTTATAAGGAAAATCCAGGGTGCAATTGCAAAATTCTGGTGGAGTACAAAAGGACTAAATCGGGGCATGCACTGGGTAGCCTGGGATAAAATTTGTCTCAACCAAGAAAAAGGGGGCTTGGGTTTCCGAGATCTCAAATGCTTCAATCTGGCCCTGTTGGCGAAACAACTATGGAGACTAATCCACTTTCCGTCATCCCTATTGGCAAAGGTGATGAAAGCGCGGTATTATAGATTTTCGGACCCGCTGGAGGTCGAGAGATCAAACAATCCCTCGTTCGGATGGAGGAGCATAATTGCAGCGAAACATCTTCTACAACGCGGGCTGCGACACTCTATCAACTCTGGCATTAGTACCAGAGTTTGGTACGACAAATGGCTTCCACTTACCCCGCCCCGACCAGCAATAGCTTTGGGTCATGACCTTAACCCGGACCTGTATGTGCACCATCTGATAGACCCAGATACGGCAAGGTGGAGGGTGGACCTGTTGGAACAACTGATTGATCCGGAAGATATTCCGCGAATAAAGAGTATCAGACCGAGTAGAGCATACAAACCAGATCGACTGGTATGGGCCTACACAAAATCTGGTATCTACTCAGTGAAAACGGGGTACGATATTGCCTTGGAAATAAAGGAGGAAATGAACCCACAACAGATGTCTGAACCGAGTTTCAACCCCCTCAAATGCAAGATCTGGTCCTTGCGAACCTCGAGGAAGCTGAAACATTTCTTATGGCAAGTCCTATCCGGATTTTTAGCGACAAATGGTCAGCTAGCCAACCGTCACTGTGGTTCCGACAGACAGTGTCAACGCTGCGGAGCAGAGGAAGAAACAGTTAATCATGTTTTATTTGAATGCCCGCCCGCATTACAAACATGGGCTCTTAGTCAAATCCCATCCATTCCGGGGGTATTCCCGTGTACATCTGTTTCTCAGAACATAGCGTTCCTCCTGGAACGGTTAAGAGAACAAGGGATACCAGGGAAGACCTTGGAGGTTTTCCCGTGGATCACCTGGTACATCTGGAAGGCACGAAATGAGAAGGTTTTCAATGCAAAAGAGATCCTCCCTACAGAGACTTTAGATATTGCTGTACATGAAGCTGAATCCTGGAAAGTTGCTCAGGTAGTAGCAGCGACGGACGACGCAAGTAGAGAGCAGTCCTTACAACCAACCCAGACAGTAAGGAACGAGACTACTTACCCACGCTGTCAAGTAGATGCATCTTGGGTAAGGGGAGCGGACAGGTCAGGAGGGGGTTTCCTACTCGAGTATGGAGATGGACGTCGGATTTTTGGCCTCTGGGCACAGGATACCAAACAATCACCACTACACGCGGAATTTGAAGCCATCCTAGGGGTCATGAAGGCAATCTCTGACCTCCAAATTCGATCTATCCACTTAGAGACAGACTGCTTACAACTGGTGAAAATGATTGAGGAGGAGGAGGAGTGGCCAGCTTTTGTAACAGAATTAGAGGAGTTCTCCTTCTTAAAGGAATCTTTTCGGTCTTTTATTTTAACTTTTATCCCTAGATTACAAAATGTCCGTGCTGACTATCTTGCAAAGACTGCTCAAGCACGTAATCACTGCTTTTCCCATGTAGCCTCTACTGTCCCAGAATAGCTAGCTCTTGAGCCAAGTCTTTTTGGGAATTTAATATAATACATGGTGATTTGGATGAAAAAAAAAAAAAAAAAAAAAAAAAATCATCACTTAGATGTCATGTGTAGAATGTCATTTGCTTCCTATAAATAGCATATACTTCGCATTGTATAAAACATAAGTAAATAAAAAGTTAATCTATTTAAAAGTTTTTTTTACTTCCTTTAACAAAAGGTTTGCTAAAAACATATTTCCACAACAATAAATATATTTTTATGGCTATATATACAAGGGAGAGTAAATACAATGCATGATAACGATTATAACACTCAATTTTTGGAAGATCATCAAACAAAAACAAAAGGGCTTGTAAGACAAAGCTGCTTTGATATTTACTTACAAAGTTGTTGCCTTGTGTCTACCATTTGACGTCGAGTGTTAAAGCTTCTTGAGGAACAAGTATCGATGGGAACTTAGTGAATGACATATTAGACATCAAATTACTCCATGCCTCTGTATCCACTTCAATGAAAGGCACCACTTTTCTCAATCCCACTGGTTTCAACTTATCACCTTCAACTTTCGCCGTCACTTCGAACCAAACCCGTTCGATCTTAGCTTTCGTTCTCCACTCTGCTCTTTTACTTGTCACACTCTCGTTGCTCCCAATTCTTCTCTCGATATCTAACTGAAACCGAACCATCCCTGAAGCCTTTAACTTTGCTGTCACATAGCTTACACTTTGCTCGTTTCCACTGTTCTGTAAAGAGTTTAGAACTCTCTCCAACTTGTTAATCTTCAAGCCAAGAAGATCAGTTGGGAGATGATGTTGCTTATACGTGTGAGCTTTGCTATAACATTTTTCAGGAAGTAACTGGATTGTATCATCGGATAAGTAAGAAGCCTTGATTTGAGAATCCGTCTTTGGAGTCTTAAATGCAACCAATGAAGCTGATCCTATGATTTGTATCGGTGGCAATGGCACGCACACAGAGCCTAGAGACGACCATACACAACTTCCTTCTTTAACATCAACAGGTTCTACAGTAGCAGCGAATCTTCGACTCGATGAGTGGAACAGTGAGACTGCTTGAGCTTCCCTTATCTCTACTGAGATTCCTTCACTGACAAGAACTCGTTTTAAACCGTTGTGTGTGATGTTCATCTGAAAAACCAAATCATAAGCTCGAATCATCAGTGACAAGCTATTGCCACAACAAATATCATCTTCAATACATCGAAATGAACTTTCAGGCTTAAGCAAAGCAGAGGCTTCTAGGGATTTTCTGCACTTTCTGCATCTTGAAGAAACACAATAACAGAGTTTCAATGCAAAATCATATGTAACAGAGCGAGCTAATGTACTTAAAGAGCACAAACTCTCATTAGAACGGTCCATTTGAGTCATCTTCTCGGGGCTAATCATCAAGAACGCCATAAATTCACTAAACAAGACCTAAGTTTCTAAATTCCTCCGAAAAGATCAATAACTACAGAATCATATAGCAAAACTCGTTTCTTATGTCACCTAGAAACAGTAAGAGATGAACGAGACAGTACCGGCAAGGCAAGCGAGAGACGGTAATCGCCGGCGACTCGTATCTCAAGTGGACCTTTCAATACGATCGGATCAAGAACCTTACTCGAATTAACTTCCCGGATTACCTCCGTCAACTCCACTTGTCTTCCTCCGCCGCTTCTTCTCCAATCTGTTACTTCGTCAGGGAAGACGAAAATGAATCTGCTCTTCCCTAATCGGATCCGGATCTCAAAGCTCCGTCCGGTACCAACACGAAGTTTCTTAACTTCCAATTTCGAAAATCTAACTTCCTCCAGATTCCACTTTTGCTTCACCGATATCTCCTTCAACACATCCTAAAATTAGCAAAAGATTAATCAGACGATTAAGCGATAAGAATATCGCCGGAGACGAAGATTGATTGACTTTACCTGTAAAATCGGCGTTGCGGTGATTGTGGATTCGTCCTGCTGCGAAGGATCGAAGGCTACGGCTAGAGTAAGTGCTTGGAAGAAGAGAGAGAGTACGACGGAGAATGGAGAACGGCGCATCGTCATTCGTCCGATAGATTTACGCCGGCGTTACCGTAGCCGTCACCGTCAACGACCGTCTTGTGGCTCTCTGAAGCCCATTGAAGTTTTCCGATATCAATAATCCTTTTCAATGACGTGGCACTGCCTCACATATAGAGGGTGCAACTAAATTTTAAGAGACTTTGTAGTTATTTTAAAATTTCATATCATTCAACTAATAATTTTTGACCCAAAAAAAAACTAATAATTTTTAAATATTTTATCAAAATCTATGTTATTAAAGATGTAATTTATATAAAATCAATTAAAATTAATTTAACATCTATATTATTTAATCAAGAGTTTGTAAGAACTAAATCAAATCCACTGTTATTGGAAATATTATAAATGGTGGATTTTACAAAATATTGAGTATTTTTAAATGATTTAGTGGAGTTTGTTAGTTAAAAATATAGAAAACTAAATCTCTGGGATTTCATATAATTTTAGAATCAAATCATATCAACTTTTCTAATCCATATAAAATCATATAAAATTTCATTAGAACTCAAATCTTTTCAAATTCTCTGAATTTGAGTTTCAATACACCTCTATAGTCACATGACAAGAGCTTGTTTGTCTTTGCTATTTAAAAATGGGACTAATATTATAAAAATAAGGTAGATTAGGTAAGAGTACTGTTCAAAAACTCGCTGAGCGCTACTGGAGCGCTTAGTTTAGGATTAATAATTTTTCTATAAATCAGAACTAAATCAGAAATTAATCAGGATTACTTTTTTAAAAATATCATATATATATATACGTATATATAATATTTGTGTGCATCAATTCTTAAAATACAGTTCCGTTTATTTTTTGTTTGTTAATAAAATATACATATAAATGATGCTGAGCGTATTCCCTTCAGTCTCGCTGCTGAGTTTGGCCGGTCAGTTGAGCTAGAGTATGTTTAAGACTCTCTGACAGTTCTTTTTCCGAAGGTTCCGGCCTTCCCCTCTCATTCCTCTCATTCTTAGGTTTTTTTATATTTTTTTTGTTGTTTGGCCATCTCGCCTCCTTCCCTTCTGTCTCAGCCTCTCCCTCTCTCTTTATACTCTTTTCGCTCTGACCAGTCCCATCGATTTGGCGCATAGTGGGAGCAGATGGGCTATCGCAGCACGCATTCGACTTGGAAAGCCCGCTACCTGCCCGAGAATACTTAGTTAGGGAGCCGTTGGCAGGCCTAAACAGAAAGTTTATCATCACAGCTAAGCCCACTGCTGATGTGTTTCTTTCTGATAGAACAAGGTGAAAGTGGGCCTAACAATTGCCCCTGACATCTCGACTGACTGGAAATGAGTTGGGGAATCGATTCTTACTTCGTTCTTGCAAAACATTTCAAGACTTATTTTCTCTGATATCCTAAGGTTTTGGCATGTTTGGTGCCGCATTAGAGCGATTCACCCTCGACTTTGCCATGCATCCCGAATGAGTACGAATCAGGCAGGAGTGAAACAAGGCTTCCGGAGAAACAATTGAAGTGATTCACCCTCGACCCTGCCACACATTCCGGAAGAGTATGAATCTGGCCGGAGTGAAACGAAAGTTTTCAAAGAAACAGTTAGAGTGTTTCACCCCGACCTTTCCATGCATCCCGAAAGTGTACGGGTCTGGCCAGAGTGAAACGAAGGTTTCCGGAGAAACATTTAGAGCGATTCACCCCAAACTTGCCATGCATCTTCGAAGAGTACAGGTCTGGTGGGAGTGAATGATAGTTTGCATTCTTGCACTATATTAGACCTCATTAGTATAGTTTTCATCTTATTTCACCATCTAGATTGTCCAAAGTGTCTCTCATTTATCCAAATCAGACTTAGCTTGCATTTAGAATAGGATTGCATACATTCTTGCATTTCACTTGGGTTTTCAGGTCTTTGGGGAGCTAAAGGAACATTAGAAAAATGGCAGATCAGAAGGAGATAGGAGGCTAAACCAAGAAGAAACGTTTAGGGAGCTAAGGAGTCCATACCGACCACTCATACCATGGAGGGCTCCTGTGTCTCTCCACGGTATGACCATACCGACCACAGCGCTATCTGTACACCAAGGATCCTCCTCGGAGGTGATTTGTACTGGCGACAGCCCAGTCGTACACCGATGACTCTCTATGGTGCATCCATACCGACCAAGGTATGTCTGTACTCCGATGAGCCTGATCGCTACATGGAGCTTCATGACATACCGCTGAGCCATACCGAGGAGAGCCAATCTATATCCTGCCTGGTGCTTCCTGAACTGCGTGCTAGCCGAAGAACCTCGCCGCGCCAACACGTCCTGCAAAGCATCCCAGACCACACCAAAGAGCCACATCGACGAGGACCACTGCTGATCTGCTCGGTACAAACCCATCCAAAGGTTGACTTTTTGTTAACTTTGTCATTTTTTCTTCCTTCCCTATAATTAGTTAAACCTAAGAACTTTTTGGGTTATCCAGGTCTTATCATCTCTTAAGCAGAAAACTCTCTCTTTCTAATATCTTTAAGAATAAGTTAATCTTGGATCATTTTAAATAAAGTCTTTCATTTATCTTTGATTGTTTTTTATCCTCTAATCATGCTTGGTCATATTCTTATAGTTCTAAATATGATTAATGAGTAGAGATGTCAATTTTACCCGCAGCCCGCGGGCCTGGCCCAAATAGACCCGATATGGGGCGGGTTTGGGCTTTATAAATCTTGTCCGCCAGTTTTGCGGGCCTAGCGGGTCATACCCGTACGGGTTACGGGTTGAGCGGGCTAACCCGCTGCGGGTTTGCGGGTCAGGCGAACAAAACCGAATATTCCATCGTGAGTTCATCATCTCCAACTTCTTCAGCGATTCAGCTGTATTTCTCTTAGAATCCACCATTGTTAATCTCAATCTTCTCTTATTTTCTATTGATTTCTTTTCATGATGGTGTATATGAAGTGGATTTGACTATCAATGGGAAATTGGAGTATATGGAGATCAGAAATTTTGCTGTCGGTAATCCTCCAAATCTGTGGAAACTGCAGTTTCTCCTCCGCGTCTCCTGTTAAGTGTTAAATTATTCATCTTACTCTCTGTTATAGTTTGATTTCAATCCTCTGGTGTTTACATCATATTGTTTATCTATGCAGCTACAAAATCAGGTATAGAAGAAACTGCTTGATCAGGATAAGCGATGAGTTGCTTGTTTGTGAATTGATGTTTGATGGTACAATAACTGTTTTAGCTACCCAATTCTAAGTTTATCGTGAGCAGAACAAGAACTCTGTTTATCGGTTCTAATGAAAAACTTATGGAATCACGAGGTATAGATCCAAATTTATAGGTTATACATATTAAGATGTTAAGATTGAATTTGCAGGTTTTAAGAGTATGAATTTATAGGTCTAGTAAAATTCTTATTCTTGGATTGATAAATCATTGATTGTATGTGTTTTTTTGTCATCATTTGCTCGCACCATTCTATCTGTTGTGTAACTTTTTTTGGTTATCTTTAAAGCTTTTACTCTTACTATAGATACCCGAAGGTTAGGTCGAAGAGAGTCTGATATTGAACAGGTAAAGCCACGTCAACTTAAATGTGATCAGAGTTAATCAGATTTGAACATGCTTACGAACATATAGCTAAATATTGCTCTTCTACTATAGGTTCAACTTGCCTCCAAACCTGATATTGGAGAACTTTGAAAGTCTTGACCTTGGAAGATGTACGAGGTAAGCATCTATCAGATACTATCCATCATTAATTATAGCTGTAATGATCCACTTATATAACAAGTCTTACAGCATACATGTTTGTTTCCTCATTATGTTCCTAAACTAGTTACGTTTCCACTTGCAGGCCGATGACTCTGACTTGGCTTCCTATGTTGCTGGTTAAATTGTCCGTATATTGAGCTGGAAAGTAAAAAGAATACATCAAATTAGCACAACAAAAATTGATTCAGATTTTCTAACTTTCATGTACACGAACAGAATGTCAAGTGGCTCCAAACAATCATCAACATGCCAATTCTCTTCAAGGAGGTTTTTACAAGAGAGGATGGTGAGTTAACATCTAAAAAAGCAAATGTTTCAATCAATTTAGTTTCATAAGAGTTATCACACCAGGTCAACTATTATCGTTCTCGTGCAGCAAGAATAGCTATCCAAGCTGGAGCAACAAGGATCATTGTGTCAAACCAACAAAGTTTTTTTTGTAATATGTTCAAGATTTTAACTAACAAAACATGTTATAAATCTTTGATTTTCTTACATATTAAAATGTATAAAGCCCGCGGGCTGGTCCGCATACCCGCAAAATAAGGAGGGGCGGGCTTGGGCTTCTATATTCATGTCCGCAACCCGCAGCGGGCTAGCCCGCACAGACAAAAAAAAATTGAGACCGCCACAGCCAAACCCGTTTGGGCGCGGGCCGGCCCATCTGACATCTCTATTAATGAGTAGTCTTATTAGGTTTTAAGATTGTGGTGATTAGGGTGATTAGATGGTTGATCAATGATGTCTTGCTCTCAATTCTTCCTTATCCTTGCTTGATTAATGTTCTTAGTGCTTGATTGACCTTGGGAAAGGTATTCATAATCATAGGATTTTGGCTGGATTGTAAGTGTATGATGAAATTCCTGAGTGAGTTGATTAAGTGGTTTGTATTCTTAGCCTAAAGGATTAGTTGTCTAAGGTGCTTATTAGGCTGCGTAGAACTGTTTGTTAATGCTTGCTAGTTATAATTCTACCATTGAAAGTGGGTTAGGATTTATGATTAGTGAAAGCATTATTGCCAAGGGATTCGATTAGTCTAGTCTTGATGTTCTTTGCCTAAGGATTAACATGTTATTGTTGTTTGAGGCATCATTAAACACCATTGAAGTCACGAGTTTCACATTTTGTTGTTTAAAGCTTCTAAGTGTTCTGTTTGCTTACTCTGTTTTCTAAATTGCTTAGTTTATGTCTCTTACTTAGAATTGACTTTCGGTTCACTTGCTTGATCATTTGCTTGCATTTGTTTGATTGATGAGTGTAAGCCCTTTTAAAACCTATTTGTAGGCTTAGCTAAACAAACTTCTGCATATTCTCTGTACTATCCCCATGAAGGATTGATAAATTTTTTTTAATTCAATGGCACGATTTTAGACTTGAGGAATTGAGTTACAAGACATAAAAAGTCTTGTAT